CACCAGGTATGGGTGAGCAGGCTCAGCCCAGCAGCAGGATCCAAGTGCAGAGGGACTTAGTGTGGGGGTAAGAGAGTTCTCTGTGGGGCAGTATGGGTGTGGCTGGCTCAGTGGGAGATCTGGATGCACAGAAGCTCATTGGGGTTCCAGGTGCAGGGTCAATGGGACTCTGCAGGTAGGGTGACCAGACAGCAAATGTGAAAAATCAGGATGGGGGTGGGGGCATAATAAGAGCCTATATAAGAAAAAGACCCAAAAATCGGGACTGTCCCTATGAAATCGGGACATCTGGTGACCCTATCTGCAGGGGATCCAGGTGAAGGTGTTTGGGGCTCAGCAGGGGTGATCTAGGTGCAGGGGATGTGGGGTTCATTTGGGTGGGGGTCCAGGTGCAGGTGGTTGGGGCTTAGTGGGGAGGGTGTCTGCGGGGGCTCATCGGGGTGGTACAGCTGCAGGGGACGGGGGGCTTGTCAGGGTGACGGTTCGATGGGCCTGCTTAACAGGGGAGCCCCAGCTTCTGCCAAGGGGATACCGCATGCTGGGCTCCAGGTTCCCCCCTGCCCCCACTTGCCCCATCTCCTTCTCTTCCCCATCCCATACCCCTTCCCCACCACTCCATCTCCTCCCCAGGCTTGGGGGGCAGGGGTGAAACCACCCCCCAGCACGAGCTGGCAGAGCGGAGCGGGCTGGAGCCAGGTTGCTCCACTTCCTGCCACCTGGTAGTTGCAGGGCAGGCCCAACCCCACACTCAAAGGGCAGTGGGACGTGGAGTGACCCGGCCGCAGCCTGCTCCACTCTGCTCCCCTGGCTCCTGGACTTTGGGGGAGGAGCCTCCCCCCAGCACTCACCAGTGGCACGGTTGGGAGCCGGCGGAGCGGAGTGGGCTGGGTCGCTCCACTTCCCGCTGCCCGGTGAGTGCAGGACAGACCCGACCCCTGCTGCAGTCCCCCGGGATGCGTGGCTCAGGGGAGGAGGCTTGGAGGGGAAGGGGTGGGGCTGGGGCAGAGCAGGGGTAGGAAGGGGCGCAGCAGGGGCGAGGTAGCTTTCTCCTTCTGACTCTGGGCCCGGCGCTATGGAGCCACTGGCACCATGGTAAACCCAGTATTGGCCAAAGGTGGCGGCTGGCAGGTGTCAGTGGCTCAGTGTCCTCGGCCATGCAGGATGTCAGTGTCACCGGGTCATTCACTTGAGAGGGAGAATGAGGTCTGCAAAATAGCTCTAACAAGGAAATTTAAATAGCGTTTTGTAATCTGTAACTATTGTCAAATTCAAATAGCAAGTTTGGCAGAAATGTCCCTAGAAAAAAATGGAGAGCCAGATTACCAAATTATTAAATTTTCAAATATTATTTGTACATTTCTGAAAAGTTGTTGTGTTGTACAATTGGTACATTCCTCAATAATAATAATTAATATCATACTTAGCACTGTACAGATATTTGTTAATTAATCCTCACAAACCTGTGTTGGTAGGTAAGTATTAATATCCCTATTTTATAAGTAAACTGAGGCAGAGAGGGTAAGTGAATTATTCAAGTCCACAAAAGAAGTCAGATGTAAGATTAGAACTCAGAGTGGTATTGTCCCCCTATAAATTATGAGGAGTAACTCATATCCTATGACAGAAAGTCAGTTCCTGGCTTCTAGTCCTGTGCATCTATGGAGTTATGTACTTTCCATCATTGTAGCATCTGAGCATCTCACAAACACTAATGAATCTGCACAAAACGTCTGTGAAGTTTTATTGTTCCCATTTTGCAGATGGGGGAGTAGCACAAAAAGATTAAGGTTCAGATCCTTTGGGAGTTAGGTGCCTAAATACTGTTAAGGATCTGGGCCTAAATGACTTGCCCAATGTCATTTGGAAAGTCTGTGGTAGAATGAGAAAATGAAGCCCCAACTCTTGTGTTATAGTCCGCAAAACCCTTCTGCTCAGACATGTCCCCACCCCACTGAACTGGACAGATAGTTAAGTATTTCTCACTCTTTTGTCCCCCTCATTTTCCCATCACAGAAACTACATTTTTTTAAAATGAGAATGTATTTGTATTCCATGGCTGGAGAACAGGCCCCATTCTCCCATGAATATATCATTTTTTATTTTTTTGGTAACAGCTATACCATGTCTAATGTCTGTCACAGTAAATATAATGTTTTGGGATCAGAGTCTTGTAACATAAAATTACTATTTTATATATAGCATTTTTTTTCAGAGAAATTGTAGATTTTTTGTTTCTCATGTCAGCTAATCACTCCTTCCACACACACACACACACACACAACAAAATAGACTAAAATGTTTTTATAAAAATGTATAGATACAATGAGTTTTTCCTTCTGGATTAACTTCTATATCCTTTCTAAAATAATTAATTAATTCTGATCCCAAATTAGTTATTTTGTCCTTAATGACAAATGAGTTAATTAGTCCTTAATGAACCCCTGCAGTGCTTAAAAATTCAAGGGTGGCAGGATCAAAGCCATAGATTTTGTAGGTAGCAACTGCCCCTCATATAACCTGAGAGACAAGGTGGGTGAGATGATATATTTTATTAGATCAGTCTCTGTTGGTGAGAGAGAAAAGCTTTTGAGCCACAAAGAGCAATGCTTCAGGTCTATATAACCTGTCACCTCTCCTTGCAGTCCCTCAGTATTTCCTGCCATTTCTGATGGTAGCTTCCTACCATCATTTAAATAAATCAGCAACCTTTTCTGAGCCCCCAGTAGGGTCTGGCTCTGGTTCCTATTCAATCAGAGCCAAGCCCAGTTGCAATTTTGCTGGAGTGGTGGGTCCTACTTTCCCCTGCCCTCTGGAGGCTGCAGGAAGCATTTCCGCCAGAGGGTGGCGCAGCAGAGCTTCTCCCCAAACCTGGACGTAGGTGCAGGAGGAAGCCGCCGCCGTTGTCGCTTTGAAAGCCTTGAAAAATAGCCCAATGCTTCGGCTGGGGAGAGCTGCAGCTGGGTGCAGGGCGCTCACCGCGCCGCACCCCCGAGGGGTCGGCGGCCACAGCAAGAGATCCTCGTCTGGGGGGAAGGAGATCATGGTCAATGTGCACGGCGGGGAAAGCAGCGGTGAGTCTAGACCCGCCCCTCCAGTCCCACGGGAGGGAGAAGTAGAAAGTCCGGTGCTGGCCAGGCAGCTTCCTGCCCTAGAATGGAGGTAGCCGCAGGAGGGAATCAGCTCTCATCCCCTACCTCTCCCCCTGCGCTACTCAAGTCTTGGCCCACAAAAATGACTCCGTTTTCCGAGCTACACGAAGTAACTCCGTAGAGGGGCTTTCTCTCCTCCCTACCCCGAAATCGCAGCTGGCAACTAAATCCTCCCCTGAAATGTGCAGACTGAAACCGCGGCTATCCTCCAGGGAAGTTGCAACAATCCAGAAACCGAGAAAACCCCAGCCTACCCTACAAAACACACAGTCCAGTTTAACAGCTGCTAATAATCACGTGCCTGATCATGAGCTGACCCTGCCAGGTCTGTATAGGCTGGAGTAAACTGTACAGTAGCCAGATTAGAACGAGCATTAGGCCAGCTAGAGACTTGGGCCCCGGCCTTTATTTTAAACCCATTTCGAATGCACTCTGGGCCTATCCACATAGTACGTATGGGCCAAATGGGCAGTATGTTGTTCTGTAACAAAGCAGAACCAGGAATATTGTAACAGAACTGTTGTCAAACTGTATGTATTTATTCATAGGTAGATAGCAGAGATGGGGCAAAAAACAATTCCCATCTACCCCCGAAAAGCAACTATGTTAAAGGATCTGGTTACAACTGGGTAGCTCCTGACCTGTGTCATAGGGACAAAACATATTCCAACTGTCACCTTGAACAGTGCTTAAATCTTGGACTTGGCAAGACTTCAGTGTAATTCAGGAAGTTGGCTGAAACACTTTCAGATCCATCTACTCTATTGGAATGATTTATGTTCTACATATATGTGGTACTAACGACTTGTAACAGGCTCCCGTGATAGGTTAGTTTTTCTATAGTGCAGCTGGAACTTTACTGATTTGTGTTTGGGCTGAAACACCATGTTAAGGTGATTATTCAGGTTGCAAATTTCATAAAGTTCTCTATAATCTTTTTGTCCTACATGGTGTCCTTTATTTGGTCCACAGTTGGCTGACAGGTACAACTACAAAGACCCAACACAGATGGGCACCAGGAAAAGAGCTGGGCAGGAAGCATGCAATGAACTTGGATATAAATAATCTATTCTCTATATTCATTCGGTTTATTTTTTTTTTCTGATGTTAGTAATGTACAGTAATAAAGGTCGGATAACCTTAGGGTTAGAGGAGAAGAGTTGCAGGTCAATTTGAGGATAAGGTAAGATTTCCACACAACAAGCTTTCAAGGAGGTTAACTTGTTCTGGGATTTGCAAAACAGGTTCTCTAGCTTCTTCTGCAATGTTTTGGTTTTGTACAGTTTTCATAGTGCTAGCTTCCATCGTAGCCCTATGCCAGCTGTTGCACATGTCTTTATTGCTAATTGACTTTTCTCTTCCATTTGGTCGATGGTGATATCGCACCAGCCAGCCAGTAACAAAGGAAGTGGCTCAAATGTAAAGATCTTCTAGCAGTGTAGAAGATATTAACCTTGTATATTTTGTTGTGCATCTTCATGTACAGCACCAACAGGATCATAGAGCAAATTTGGAGCTGGACAGGACTAGGGAAATTAGGAGTAAGAGTCCAACCAGGAAAAAAGGAACTGTACACATTCACAACTGTCAGTCATTGGGAGACAGGAGATCTGGGTTCCATTTTTTTGCTCTGCTACAAGTTTGCTGTGTGACTTTGGGCAAGTCAATTCACCTCTCTGCCTCGCTTTCCCTAGCTGTAAAATGGGGATGATACTTCACAACATCCTGTGATGATGGGGACCTATTCATTCTCACTCATGAGATGCTCAGAGAAGGTGATGAGCACAATAGAAATGCCTGTAAATAAATGAGGAAGTTATTAATGCCCACCCTCACAGAATGTGTGGGGTATTGGAAATGGAACCCATGTCCCCTTTGTGTTCTGCACCAGTGAGAACTTTGGAAATGGCTTCGCTACAGCACATCATTTCTGAGGCTGTTTTTCTTTCAAGAACAGCATGACACGGAGAAGCTGTATGTTAATATTCTACGGACAATGTGTTGCCTTTTTTTTTTGCTGGACTTTGAGAACTTTGAGCAAGGCAAGGCCCCTGATTCTTAAACTAGTGATTACACAACAGGCTTAATTATGAGAAATGGATTTGCATTTTCCAGATGGCTCTGGACAGTGAACCATTACTAATATTGTCCAGTTTGTGCTGTTGTTCTCCTGTAAGCAGTAGGTATGGGAAGAAGGTTTTCTCCATTAAGGAAAATACCTGAACAGCTAATCTAAGCAGGAAGACAGTATGGGGAAAGCAGAACAGCATGCAAAATGGAACTGTTACATGGATCCAGTCTGTTCTTAGGTTTAAAAAAATGCAAAGAACACCTAGAACTGCCAAGTTAGACAAGAGGTCCACTTTTAAGTTAAAGCTTATTTATCTACATTTTTGCAGTATTATGTAACCTCACATTGATTCTGTAGTGCTGAATTTCACAATGTGGTCTGGCATGTTCCATTTAAAACTCACTCACTTAAGCAGCCTACTTTATATTTTAAAAAATCTTTATACAAAGTCTCAAGAAAGAAGAGTTACAGTACTTGGGGCTATTGTTCTAAGAAGACTTGCCATGTCAAATATAACTTGTATCTTTAAACAAAATGTAACTGAAATTGTCTCTTTTTACTAAAGGAATTGCTGAAATCCTGATGAACAGAGCCCATGCCAGAAATTCACTGGGAAGAGTACTTGTTAATGAAGTAAGTATATCTGCTTCTCTATCTCTAGACTAAATATTGTTTAGAATTGTGATCAGTATCTAAATGTATCCTGTAGAAGTAAAATGGCCATAGTAATTGCAGAAGAGAAAACTTAAGCACCCAATCACCTTGTATTTTGGCATTTTTTTTTTAATATGTAAGACTTTACACATACTAACTAATTCTCACCACTCTAAAGAGGCTGGAAAATAGGTTAAGTTTAGTTACTCCCATTTTACAGATGGGGACACTGCTACATTTTTGTTGGATGCGCCTTCCAGAGCTGCAGTGTCTCCTTTTCCCCGTATCTTGGGGCATTAGTAGCTCCTGGATATTCATGATCTCAGGTTTCCACTGTCTATCAAAGAGGAAAAACTTAGAGCATGTTGTGTTGCCAGCTAGGGAAAATGAACTCACAGATCAGAGATGCACCAAAATAAAGAGGCAAGAATTTATTGTTGTTAATCTCCTAATAGGGGAACTTTGAACTATCAAAAATATTTCTGGATAGGGAGCAAGATATGACTGGCTTTTATAACGAACACTAAATTATTCCACTTAAAGAGATGCTGGCATGATTGTTACGGCAAAAAATATGTGTGCCTTCAGAATGGTCCCATCTTGCTTACTTTCAGAAATCTCCCTGGTATTTACTTTTGGCAATCTAATCATTGTTGTATCTAGTACATTATTTTATTTTAATCAAATATACAATTTACTGTTAGTGAATGAACCTGTGTAAATTCACTGTTCGATAACAACCAGTTGTGTATTTGGTTTCCTTAATGTCCGTCCTGCAGTAGGACTGGGTTTCAAAATCAACAAATGGAAGGGGTCTGGAAGGTATTAGAATTTCACCCCAAAGCAGTTTCCATGTAGGTCCATTGTTTGGGCCTAACAACTTGGGCTGGGTTCAGCTTGATGGTCTAGGCCTACTGAGGTGAGATACCATGTGTGAGATCCAAGTCTGAGACTAGAGCTATGTCCTTTGTTGCTAGGCCAGCAGGGGCTGGGAGTAGTCAAAAGGCGGCTTAGTCCCTGGGGAAAGGAGACTTTGTGTTGGTCGTAAGCAACCTTTTTGGTCAAATTGGGGACTGACCTGTTTCAGAGGAAGCCTTGCGCAACTCTGAAGAGGAAGGACAGTCAGGGATGCAGAAAAATCTCTGTGGATGGGATTGAAAAGAGGGGAATCCTAAGAGTTTCAGGAGAGGCTTGTAGAAACCATGTGTGGAGCAAGGACCATCCTTGAGGCTGGCTTTCTAAGAGATCCCTATGCCCACCGAGAACAAGGAAATTAAACTTTTATCAAAATATAGGGGTCTTCAGTCATTTAAACATGCATAGTAATTTAGATGCTTGACGCATTCAGTTTTTCTTAACTCCTCTTCTTGATTAAACTCTTAGCTATTCAGAGTTCTAGAAAGTCTCCGTTGTGATGAAAGGATCCGCGTGGTAGTGTTTAAAAGTGAAGTCAAAGGCGTGTTTTGTGCAGGTATGTAACCAATGTTCTGTGACTTGATATTAAAAACAGATCCCTTCAAATTATGTTGTACAGATTAGACTATGCTAAGCAACAGATGTAAAAACAAACTTAAGGAAATCAGTTTGACTTTGTGGGGTAACAAGGAACAAACCATTGCCTTGTCCTGGCTAGGCATATGTAACTCCCTGCTTTAGAAATTGAGACCTCAGCAGGCAGAGCAAGCTACCTCTGAAGACTAGCTCTTCTCTCTTTATATTACCATTTCTTTCCAGTTAGACCCATGGGCTGCTCACAGGAGGGCCCCTACCCTGCAATTTTGAGATTTAACCTCCTTAGGCATAGGAATTGGTGGTGCTCTAGGAACTGTCTAACAAGACAGCAACAGAGCAGAGCATTCCACAACCATTCTTAAAGCCTGAATGCTTGAATTCCAGGGATGCTGCATCTAAGCTCCAATAGTCTAGAGAGTTGTCATTCCGCTTTTGAACTTGACTCTCCTGCATAGTCACATCAAGCACTGTTGCTCAACTGCCTGTTACCTTTCTTCTATCACTGAATTCTTTGTTTTCCTCCACACTTTAGGCGCTGACTTAAAGGAGCGTGCCCAAATGAATGATACAGAGGTTGGACACTTTGTTCACAGGCTGAGAAGTTTAATGGATGAAATTGGTAAATGATCAGTTATAAAACATCTATTTCTATATATGCCCACACCGTGGGGGGGCAGTCAGTGGTGCTATATCAGGGAAACTTTATAAGGATACCTCCCCTAAAAGGGTAAAACTCGTCCATGCAAGAGACGGTTCTTGGGGCCTGGTCCAGACTGCGGAATGAACTTCCATCTAAAGAACTAAGGACTATCTTCTGCTCCAAGTGCAAGGTGCGCTTCTTGGAGCTACCGTCTCTAAGAGAAATGAGAGCAGCAAATACACTCTCAAAAAAACCCCACTTCATAGCACACACAGCTCTCCCCCAGTGGGAGAGGATATGAAAGAATGAACCATACATGACAGATGTTAGTCATGTCACTTAATGCATGTTACTGGAAGGTGCTCAGATACTACAGGGATAGGTGTGATACAAGAACCTATATAGAATAGTAAAGGTGCTTGGATCATTGAGTCAATTTCAAGTTGGAATAGCCTCTGAAGATTTTACCTCTTTTTAGACAAGTGTGGATTTGCACAGTCAATTCTCTTCTTGCATTATTCTGTTGTCCCTGGAGGGAGATATTTTAGCTAGATGTTTAAAACACGAATCTGACTAGAATATCAATCAAAGTAACAGTAAGAAGAAGATAAATGTATTATCCAAAATACCTGCACCCACATGTGACTTTCATGTTACAAAGCACCAAGCGATGTTTGAGGGAGTGTTGTTGAGTAGTTAGAACCAGGAACTTCAAGATAACACTTCCGGATTTTGTTCCTAACTTTTCTATTCACTCAGTGCGATTTGTTTGTTTTTTCTTTGCAAGAGATACTTGACCACTAGGTGCCTTGGTTTCCCCAACTTTAAAATGGGAGAGAGACTCACCTAGCTCACAAGTTTTGGGAGACTTACGTAATGTTCATAAACATACTAAATGCAGTATGTAATGGTCAGCTGAATTGGACAGCAGTAGGGACTGACCATTTGTAGCCATATAAAATGGAACATGGAGAGTGCCTCAGAGTGTAGAATCTGTTAATTGACTGTTCCATTGTAACACATTAAATGTGAACATCCAGTTATCTCCGTTTCAAGGAGGCAGAGCTTTAGTTTGAGAAAATAAACTTTGTTTTACATTTCAGTGCTTTATAATGTGGAATTATTTTTAAAGAGGAGAAGGAGGAAGGAAAAAAGCACAACTTTTTACCATTTGAAGATCGTTTCCTTGTTCCTTTTGACTTATGGAAATCATTGTAGCATCATACCAAACTTTGAACATTTGAGATGTAATTACATGAAACACTCAGTGAAAAACCGCTCCTGTAATTAAACTTTCAAATCTGTTTTGTCTTTAATAGCTGCACTGCCTATGCCCACAATAGCTGCAATAGAAGGCTATGCATTGGGTGGGGGATTGGAATTGGCATTAGCGTGTGATCTTCGAATAGCAGGTATGTGCACTGCCAAATATGGGATATTTAAAGTAATCACTGGTTTTAGTTAAACAACATTTGAAAGTAAGCTAAAGGCTGTTTGATTCCCTTTCTGATAAGCTAATACAGGAACTTGTGTAATGTAGGAAATGAATAGGCACTTGCCTAAAATTTTGGTGACATTTAACTATTTGAGAAAGCTGCATGTCTTGTTTAAAAGGGGAAACAATTTTAGATGAGATCAATATGAGTTACACTAAAATTCTTTTGGAAGGGGTTAAGCTCCTGTTGGTGGTAGGGGTATATGGTTAATGCCCACTAAGAGCAGGTTTATTGGGTGACTGATCAATTCTGGTTTGGTCCAACCTACTTTTAGCAGTGAGGTCCCTGCACATTGATGAGAATAGACCCTTTAGAAAGTACATCAACAGAGGGACTGGGCCATCCCTATGTACTTGTAACTTGCACAAGATCAGAGAGCTGCTATTTCTTTTCAAAACACCTCCATTATCTCAGATCATGTGACAAGTTGAATTATGACAGTTTTACTTTATCACCCAGTGACCTGGTGTGCACAAGTCTGATCTCAGGCTAATTCCAAGCCTAATTCAGACAGAACCAAAACCTCCTCCCCACTTGCATCCATTTCAGGGGTGGGTAACAATCTCTTCTAGAGGCTCACAGTCCAGTGAGGTACTGCAACTTCTTCAGTGCACCCTGCCTTTGGAATAAGTGTCCCCACGTAACTCTCATAGTGCTACCAGATTTCCTTCTTATTGCTTAATATGAAAATGCTTAATATCTCTAGTAAACACAGCATATACATTAATGGGTGAGGTTTTTTTTTTTAAAGTTAGCAAAATGCTTTAATTCCTACCTCCCTTCTGAATCTTCATATCACACCCTTAGCCCCCTTTTTCTGGGGAAAAAAAATGCCAAGTTTCCTGGAAGCAGTCAGCTACAAAGGATATTTAAGTCCAGGCTCCTCATCACCTAACTTGTAGCTGCGGTTGGTTGACTGTAGCACCCATCCTCTCTGGCTACCTGAAGTTAATGTTGTAACCTGGCCCATCTTATTCCTGAAATCTCCCAAAATGGCAGTTTGGTAACTTAATGCTCCTTAAAAGATAAATGTTCTGATTGTACAACAGACACCTCAAAGCTGTTTGTCTTAAACAGCTTATGTCTTAAAAAATGCAATAAGAACTAGCATTTGAGGCTGGTCTTCAATTGAGAATGGAGAGTCTAGCTGCAGGATGCCCACATTGAATGAATGCTAAAGATCAACTTTGCACAGAGATCACGTTCCAGCTGGTGCTAAGGTGTTAGATAGGCAGAGAGACTTTTATTCAGCAAAAGCTGGCATCAAAATTTCTCCTCTTTTTGTGGAACAAACGTGTGTGTGTCAGAAAAGTGTTTAGGCCAAGATCCATAGCTCTAGTTTGCTCAGCAAATAGTATGCCCAACATAAACAAGTTCACACAAATCGCTGCAGTCACTCATTTTAGTTGCATTTTTGATACCTTTCAATACAAAATAAGGCATGTTTAGTGTGAAAGGAATTTAGCCACTTGACACCATTGACTCTAGTGGGATTCATCCACTGGCATTCTCTGAGTGAAAACTATCTTAGTGTAATGTTAACAGCTATCTTCTGGTTTGAGAAAGTAACTTTAAAAAAAAATTTTTTTCTTTAAAAATAGCTTCATCAGCTAAAATGGGCCTGATTGAGACCACCAGAGGACTTCTTCCAGGTGCAGGTAACCTATCTTCATTAAATCTTCTAATATTTTTACAACTATATGTGAATTTTACTGTAGGGTACTTGATGAAAATCCTTTTATATACAAAGGAAGTGTTATCTAGTAGCCAGTGCAAGGAGCAGGGAGTCAGAATTGCAGAGTTTGTCTGAGCTCTGCTACTGACATCCTGTGATCTTAGGAAGACCATTTCACCCTTTCATTTTCCCCTTGTTCACTCCACCGAGGTGCTGTGATTTAATGTGTGAAATGTTGAGCTCCTCAGCTGACGGGCTACAGTGCATGGTACTACTAAAACACCATGTTTTTCACATGTATAAACAAGTAAAATATATTTGAGTGGTTTTTGCTATTTGTTTCTCAGAAAACAATAATGTGGTATATTGTCTTAAGGTGGAACCCAACGCCTGCCCCGCTGTATTGGAATAGGTCTTGCTAAGGAACTCATTTTCACTGGCAGACAGATTAATGGACAAGAAGCACTCTCAATAGGATTAGTAAACCACACAGTGCCACAGAATGATGAAGGGGATGCTGCTTACCAGAGAGCATTAACCTTGGCTAAAGAAATTCTCCCTCAGGTCAGTATTGTTTATTTGGCTCGTGTTTTGGCTACGTTGTGGAACATGGCTAGCTTCTTACCTCTTTCCATGACATATTAAAATCTTGGGGGACTTATTTTTCTTAAAGCATCTTCAACCCAATCTCTCTCTTAGCAGATTCAATTAAGTGCAAATGATGCAATGTAGACATCTACTAGCTGACTTGCGGGCACAATCAGACCTCTAGGTGTCATTGCTTACACCAGCAAAAAGGAGGCAAGCTTTGAAAATTAGATCTTTGAAATTAGTGTGAGAAACCAAACTTATTTTTGTTTCCTCTTCATGAACGGGATCTGAATGACTCCAGCAAAATAGCCTTCATCATCTCCCACTGCATTAGCTGTTGTATTTTACTTCCATTAGGAACGGTAGGAGACACAACTAACGGTTCCTTAGCATTAGAACATTCTTATTCTGTGCGTCGAACACATAACCATCATACACTGTTTGAAATAACAATCTGGGACTGCTCTCTAAAGTGGTAGCACTGTACACATCCAGCCCTAAAAGTGATAACTTTCAATCTGCTGATTTTTGTTTTGCTAATTTGTCTTGCAGTGGTACTTAGCACGACCACTGTTTCAGTGCAAGCTGTGGGCGCTCAGCGCCTCTGACAATCAGGCCATATATTTAGGCACTCAAGTCTGAAAACTTTGGCTTGAATACTTAAAAGTACATTCTGTTATGAACTGTAGACAGTCTTTGCTTTTTTGGCTATATATAGTATTAGCTTTACTGCAAACTCTTGAAGACAAGAGACTGCCTTTGGAAAAAGCTGGGTGAATAACTGACTTTTCAGTTTGACGGTTCCAAACAAATAAAAAACCCAAAAAACTGAAAATTATTTTTCAAAATTTCCAAACAGCTTGTCTAAACAATTTAGATTTTAAAATGACCTTTTTTTTAAAAAAAGTAAAAGTTAAAACATCATTTTGAAATGTTACAATGAAAGTTTTTATTTTTAATTTTTAATGGGGGGGGGCGTTCCTTGTTTTAAAAAAACAAAAACAAAACACCTAAACATGAATTTAAAAAGTCTTGCTGTTGCCAAATCTTTTTCTTTTGCTGAAAACAGTGTGCAAAACATTTTTCCCTGCTCTATTTGGAAGAAAGAATAATATGGACTGTTATACAGGAAGTCAGACTAGATCACAATGGTCCCTCCTGCCCTTGGAAGCTATGAACTACTGCCTTTTAGTGTACACTGAAGTGACTTCAGTTACCTTGTTTGTTTTAAAGGCTCCCATCGCTGTGAAAATGGGTAAACTGGCAATAAACAGAGGGATAGAGGTAACTTTTTTTTTTCTCCCCAAGAGAATGTTTATGAAATGTTCAGTGAGTCAAAAATTTAAGAGCGACTCATAAAACTACAGTAAAAAGGTTTAGAACAGTCATGAAGAAAGTTCTATAAATGGATTCTAATCCCTGTTTTCAATAAGGGATCAATCTCTTTGTAAGTGACTCCTGAGGCATGAACAAAATTAAGGCCTTGGTTACACTTGTGAGTTACTGCGCTGTAAAGCCTCCCCCAGCGCTGTAACTCACTCCCCGTCCACACTGGCAGGGCACTTACAGTGCTGTATGTCCCTGGGTACACCGCTGCAGGTACTCCACCTCCTCGAGAAGCATAAGAGATACAGCGGAGTGGCTGCGACTGACTCACGGGTGTGAGTGTAAACGCTTGCAGCACTGTACTAATCACCTTGTCAAGTGGCCAATCCTCTCCATTGTTGTGACTGGCTGCAGGAATGCGGGCTCCTACCACAGAGAAAAAGCAAACCGTTTGCTCCTCACTTTGAGTGAGTGAATGAATAAGCAGGGGGCCGGGAGTTCGGAACTTGCAAAATAGAGTGCGGACTCTCTCTCCCCCCACACTCCACCCCACCCCCGTTTTGAAAAGCATGTTGCAGCCACATGAATGCTGGGATAGCTGCCCATAATGCACCACTCCCAACACAGCTGCAAATGTTGCAAGTGTGGCCACGCCACTGTGCTGTCAGCGTGGACAGACTGCAACGCTTTTCCCTACTCAGCTGTACAAAGACAGGTTTACCTCACAGCGCTGTACAGCTGCAAGTGTAGCCAAGGCCTAACAGTTTAGTAGAGCAGGATTCTGACTCCATGTTAGCTGTAAATACTATAACAGTAATGCTAGGATTAGAGTTAGTCATTCAATACTAACTGACCTTTAATCATGGAAAATACTCAAAAGGGTACTGCAGTTTAAATGCTGTGTACTTCAGAGATCACTTTTTCTCTTCAGGTGGATATTGCATCGGGGATGGCTATTGAGGGAATGTGTTATGCACAGGTATGTTAATTTTTTTTTAAAAATCACTGTACATTTCCTAAATACTGTAATAGCCTCAACTTCCATGAGATAAGAAGTTTAAGTGTATGAGTTTTAACCAACATTTGAAAACTTACTGACGTCCCTTAGCGCTTGTCTATATTGTAGCTATTGTAGAATAACTATCCTGCAATAACCTCATCTATGGACACACTTACTCTGAATCAGTTCAACTAATTCAGACGTGGATTAATCTTAAATCACAAAAAGGCATACTGACTCTGGAATAAGAGCGTCCATGCCATCTTTCCAGAATAACTAACTGTTCTGTTTTAAATTCACACCCTGACTTATTCCACAATAACTTTCTTGTATAGACATTCCCTTAATGGGAAGGTAAAACTTAAATCCTTGTTTAACAGGGTTCCTATGAATGCTAGTTGGACTCCTGCACCTGCCTCAGACTGAACTTGGTCTATCAAGGCCCTTACTTGATCTTACTGAATAAAAATTGCATGTTTTACTAGATTTAGCCCTATGTACCCACGTATACAATTTCTAGCATGGGCCCTTACATTGTGATGTAAGGGGGCTGGTTGAATTGGACACTAGATTCCTGTTGTACTGTATGTATCGAAGGTTTTCTGGTTAGGTTGAAACCATATTTCAGGAGCATGCAAGACTTCTCTTCCAGTGGAATATTTTCTTTGTATCCTCAAAATGAGTTATTTTGGGCTTGTGGATCTTACTGTACATAATGGAGGACAGTGCCATTAAATTCAATGGCATTGTCCATTGGACTGCATCAAGTGCTCACGTGCTATGCCCTGCCCTGAAAGTTATTTAAACTTTTCCTCCATGTAAGATGTGGCAGTTGACCACCTTACTTCTGAGATGTTGATTTAATATCCATAAAAGCTTTTACTTCTTAGTATATTGACAGTGATTTTAATTCAGTATTGGCTGCCTAACTTTACAAAATAAACTGCTTTTTTATTGTAATGCAGAATATTCCTACAAGAGACCGCCAAGAAGGGATGGCTGCCTTCAGAGAGAAACGTCCACCCCAGTTTATTGGGGAATAGCCCTCCAAGGATTTCCTTATTCCAGGGCATGAGTCTTTAGGAAGTAAAATGGAGGTGCACAACCTTAAACTTAATGGAAATTGTTAAATATTAAATTCTACCATCTTAATTCTTTACCATGGACACTGCTACATTCCTGGACACTCCATAGGAGACAGTTTTACAAGGATAATTAAGGTATTGAACAGTTTCATTAAACCAAAAACAAGGTTTTTTAGACTGTTAAAGCTATAATGACTAAAGTCATAGGGGAGACTGGAGTTGTATACTAAGCTGTCAGGAGAGACTTTTGCTATTAGTCTAAATCCAGAACAGGTTCACAGTGAATGAAAGGCCAGTACAGTGGTCCAGCTGAAAGAATTTGGCCTCAGTTCATTTTAAGTGGGCACTATACCTGCTTGTAACTACAACAGATAGGCCAAATGGATAAACAAGTTTAATGCCCGAACTAGCCTCTTATACCTAAGTACATGGAAGTGTTCAGGCCTGAAAGGGAAAGCATAGATTGCTGTTGGTCATGGGATCTGACCTAAATTAATTTCAGAACTCATTACCAATTTTTTGAATTCAAAAGTTACTTTGTTTCCTCTTTGTATTGTATGAAAACCACAAATAAACTCTGTGCCTTAATTCTTTGTGTGGTTTGCTGTGACGCACTTGGTGCTAGCAAGGACCAGTAACTTGCTGTAATATTATAACCAGAAGTTTCCATGTAAATACTTCCTTTTTTTTTTTTAAACAAAATATTTTCACTAACATTTTTCTATTTTAAAAAATATCAACTTGGCAGGGGCAGTACTTGAAACTACTTTACTCAGTTTGAAATTGCCAACTAGAAATATAGTGTACACATGTCACTAAATTCTAGGAATGAGACAAGAGCTGGAATACATAGTTAATAGGCAACTAGCTACAAGGCTTTAAAAAAAAAAAAAAAACAGTTCAC